CTGGAAGTTTTATTCTGGTTTCTTATTCTTGTAGTTTTGTTAATAAACTTTCTTTATTCCTTTTAAGTTTTAATCCTTTTGCTCTTCTTCTAATCTATATCTCACAGCAAGAAAGGAGTAAATTTTCTAGTGATTTTTTAGCTAATGCTTTAAAACCACAACAGAACCCAAGACCTTTTAAAATTTTCATTTTCAAACTTGTCTTTTCAAGCAGGAAAAGTGTATTTTGATAGCAATACATAAGGAACTCACATGGCCCTTTCATTCCTGTAGAGCGAGAAAGCTTTTTTCAGAAAGTTATCTCTACCAGAAAATCAAATTTAGACTGTGAGAAACTATAACCAGTAAGAGTGATTCTTAACTCAAAATAATTTTGATTTATGGTTGCTAATAATGTGGTAATATTTTGTGAGTCTGTGCTCTTTTAAACTTAATAATAATTGAAAGCTTTGTGTTATTCTTTTAGTTGTTCCCCCTCCATTAAGTTCTGCCACTAAACTAGTGTTTCTAGTTCCATAAGCTGATCACTCTTGTGACCACAGAATGAATGGTTTTGTATGTGTTGCCTTTTAGAAGCCAGAGATTCATGTATGATGATAAGCCAAAAGAAGTAACTACTGAATGTTATATTGAAGTTCTTTGCTTTATGTAGGCAAAATGAAACGAACACTGTTTTGTTTTTTTTCTCTGACAAAAATGCAAATAAAACAAAAAAAGGCACTAAGCCATAATTACTGGTATTCTCTTTCTTCCAGAGAAGAAAAATCTAAATTCAGAGCTTCTTTATTAAAAAGTAGATGTTTGTCCATGGACAACCAACATTAATGAGATAGAAGCAGAAGTTTTTATGCATCCAAAGTTTTAAAAGATCAAACTGTTGAGAGAAATTCTCCTTCAACTCAGTGGGAATGACTGCTACTGTCAGAAAGTTTATATTCTCTGTCTATCCCTGACTTGAAACTCCAATCTTTAAAGAAACACAGCATGAAGCATTCAGAGAAAAAAATAACCTCCATTTAGTTCCAAGGTTATTATAGTCACATTTAGCTAAATAATTAAAGCTAGAATATTTCTTAAAATTCAATCAACTGATATATTTTGTATTATGTATTATATGTTAAATAATTTTCTGTATATTATATGGACTTCATAAAAAGATTCCACAGCTTTATTTTTCAAGATGAGGAGTTGGTGTACTGACCTAAATGTCTTCTAAAATCTGAGTTGTGCAGTGTGATGGTCCTTACACTACTTCTACAAGTCAGGGCATTTCAGGGAGAGTAGTATGTAAACATATCCATTAGGATATATCCATTATCCTTCCTTGAGGAGAGCACTGGAGCGGGTGCTGATCACCTCTCTCTGGTGACCAGCAATAGGACACGAGGAAAAGGAATGAAGTTGCTCTGAGGAAATTCAGACCAGACATGAAGAAAAGATTCTCCACTCAGAGTGTAGTTTGTCCCTGGAAGAGGCTTCCCAGCAAAGTGGTTGTGGCACCACACCTGACTGAGTTCAAGGAACATCTGGACAGTGCTCTCAGTCACATGGTTTAGTCTTAGTAGTAGTCCTGAGAAAATCAGGGAGTTGGACTAAATTATCCTTTTGAGTCCCTTCTAACTTAAAATATCCTATGGTTCTGTGCTTCTCTGATTTTTGAAAGTTCAGGAAGTCTCTCAAAAAAGGGGATTTTTTATTAAGATAAGTGAAGTCTAAAGTGGCTGATAATTATTGCTATTTTTTAAGCAGAGATACGGGTCATGAAGTGATACAAACCTGCACTATGCATTGTATCTACTGTCAATTTCTCCACTAAAGGAAAACCCCAGGAATTTAATCACCTTTGTTTCAGTCTCACACACAGGTTTCATTCACCGGAGTAATCTGCAGATTCTGAGAACAATTCAGGCTGGAAGGGACCTTTGGAGGTCACTTAGGTCACATCTCCTGCCCAAAACAGGACCAATTTAAAAGTTCAATCGTATAGTTTAGGACTTCATCTGGATGGATTTTTAACCTCTTGCAGAAGAGAGATTCCATAATCTCATGGAATCACCAGTTACGTTAAAGAGATCTTTTGTCCTCAGATATAACTGGAATTTTCCCTTATTGCAACATATGACTGTTGCCTCCAGTCCTTTCTCTGTGCATCTCTGCTCACCTTGATGCTGTTCTTCAGTACTGCCAGAGCACACTGCTGGCTCGGGCCAAATGAAAGAATCACAATGCCATTTAAGTTGGAAAGCACCTCTTGTCAAACTCCCTCTGCTGAAACAAGTTTACTTGTCCAAGAACATGTTTAGTCAGGTTTTAAATATCTCCAAGGAGACTCCACAACTTCTCTGAGTTACCTGTGCCCAGTAACACTTACCATAAAAAAGAGTTTCCTGATAATAAGACAAAATTTCACGTGCTTGTTGTCCATTGCTTCTTGCCCTGTCACTGGACACTACTGATAAAAGTCTGGCTTCTTTGTCTTCACTCCCTCCCATCAGGTTTATACCAGATATTTATGTACTTATAACTATACATCTGCCACTGGAGAGTTATGCCTTCCCAGGTGCAGCAGGCTGCACTTGCTTTTGCGTTCATGTAAAATATTCCTAAGGGTCTGGAGCATGAAGTCAATTTCTTACAGGTCACTTTCACAGTCATGCTGTTTGAAGAACTTCACTCAGCTAAGTTAGATCAAAGAGACATCATGTAAAATGCAGTGGAAGTGATTTTACAGGCTTTTATGATTAAAAACAGACAGCAGATATAGAAGACAGTTCAGACAGCCCACACCGCTATATAATGTAGAGAATCTGTAGGCACAGTGTGAAAGAAAAGTAGACAAAAAATTTGTATATTTCTTCAGTTTATAAACACCAATCTCTCATTCTCAGGTAATTAAAAATTGGACTTTCGCTAAGAAACCTATGCTATCACTGCTCTTAGTAGTTGTTACTGCATGATGTTAACCTTTTGTTCCTATAGACTGGCCCTAGCTGATAAACTCTCTGGTATGAAAAATTAATTATCATGTACATCAGCGAAGACTGCCCCAGGATATGGCCCTTCAGTGGTAATGACCACTGATAACTACATTCTCAGGCGTTTCTAAGAAGTGACAGGATTGTGACTTTGCAGCAAAGTGAAACCCATTTGCCAGATAAAACAAGGAAAGGAAGAATCTTTGTAAAGGAGGAATGACCATACCAAACATATGCTTAAAACATTATATAAATCTTAGTAGTAAGATAACTGTACTTGTACTGCTAAACTTTTATTACAAAACACCAAGTTTGCCTCATCTAATCTTAAAATGGATTGATGAATTGCCTTAATATACTACTTTTTGTGGGTTTAGAAGGTATTTCTAAGATGTTTACAACACAAACATTATCATGAGTAAAACCTACAGTATTTAATTAATACAAGGATGAGTTATGAAATATTTTATTTTTTACAAAGATAGCAAAATACTGCAATTGGTTCTGTCTTCTTAATACCTTAAACTAAAAAAACGTAATTAAAAAAGCTACTAAAAAGATTGCTTTTTGCAAGGAATTCTTTTCTTTTTAGAAAGGAAATTCAGGTTTAAGACCCCTTTATCTTGTTCATCATGTCTAATTCTACAGCATCGTTTCCAAATACTGCTGTTTCTTCATGCTGTGTTTTCCATGAAGCTCATCTGGCCCAATGCAGACATTTACAGTACAGATCAATAGTGGCTGGACTAGGCAGAGAAACTCCTTTTCATTTGAATCACCAATGAAAATATAGACTATTATTCTTCTGTTCTGTTTTAAGCATTGACTTTAGGATGAAATGAATCACAATATAGAAATGCTTAGGTTTTTCTTCACTATTAGTAGGCTACCTTAGGGGTATATAGCTGCATTTTAGTCACAAAGTTACATGATATTAATCCCATTCCTTTTATCTGCAATCTTAGTTAAAACTAAACTCTTCAGGCACTGCCAACCACCATGATTCCTCATGACTATCATAGTAAAAAAAAAAAAAAATCACTTCCAAAATCAAATTATTAGTGTAGCATAACAAATATCCCAAACTTTGTCTTTAAACTGGCCAACTCCTCTTTTAGCTTTGAATTAAAGGAAAAAGCTTCAGGAAAAATGTTGCTACCATCTGGTATATTTTATGAATTTTAGACCATCTGTTTTTGGCAAAGGCTCTCAGAGCCAATTTCAGTGCTGAGACCATGAAAGCCTCAGAATTTTATCCCAAGTTTCTCCAGTTAAATTGGCTTTTTGGAGCATTAGCAGGCTGCATAACCAACAGTAAGGTGGCAGCCTCTCTAATAGACAGAAGCCTTTCTGCCTTCAGTCCACAAGGAAAGACAGACACAAGCACTGCTGTGGTTCCTACTGTTTAAGGGAGATGCTGCCATGTATTTGAGAACCCTATCAAGTTATCTGTATGTTTGTTTCAGGATCTAAAGCAACAGACCACTCTGGAGATGACTCAGAACATTACAGCACAGCCATCACATCCTCATGGAACAAAATCATGTTTGGAAACAGCAGTAAACATATCTCACTACCGCAGCCAAATAACAGGAAGCATCTAAAAATAGCTGTGATTATTTAGCAATGGCTTTGTAGTTTGGGAAGTCTTGATATCCTAATGTATAAGACCAATGTATAGTTCTTCAGTCATGAACACACAAAGGCCAGGCAAAGAAGACTTGCATGCTGATATTCAGGTTTCCTCCTGCTGTCCCATCTTACCTTTTGTACTGAAGTAAATACCTGGTACTAAGAAGGAGGTGGCACCATCAAATGCCCTCTATAATACAGGATTTAACTACCCTTATTCAGTTGCTGTAAGCTCCTTCAATCAGCTGTCTCAGCAGAAAGGAGATTCCAGTCATGTAATTTACTCCCCCTGACCCCATGAAAGATCCAGTTGGCATGTGGCTCCCAGAGAACAATTATAATAATAATTATAATTATGCATTATATTTCAGAGCACATGTACTAAGTTTTTACCTGAGTCTTCCATCCTCTGCTGCAGCTCCTCCTGGTATAATCTTAGTAATGAATATCCCAGGATCATCCCCAATGTGTGGGTTATCTGTTCCTCCAGCAATACTGAACCCCAGGCCAGAATTTCCCTGTAAAAATAATAAAAAGTAAATCCATCATTCAGATGCTAGATTTCTACAGAATTCATTTGCACTGCATGAACAAAGTATCCTTGCTTCTTAAATAAAGCATTTTATTTGGCAACTCCATACTTGAAGGCAGGTGACTCAGTCAGAAAAAATTAATTGTCAGTTAAAGAACAGAGGCTGTGAACAGAAAAAGTTCCTGGAGTTAATGACAGAGTTAATGGATGCTCCTACAGAAACAGGATTTGACCTAAATTTGTTTTCAAAAGCAGTCACATAAATTAGCATCTGAACTCCAATATTAATTCATCCAAGTCAATGAGAGCTAGAGGCTAAAAACATTTCAGAGCATTGAAAAAAAAACTTTCAAAATGACTGTCATTTATAAACAGAAACAGTGAAAAACATTTAACTCTGAAGTATTTTACTACCCTAGTTTCTGTTACGATGCTTTTAAAAAATTCCCAAAAAATCCCCAAAACAAGAGTACTTCTTTCATTCTACTGATCTGCTAGGACAAAATGTTTGAAGGACTATAAGACTACTCAATAATCGCACTTACTGTTTCTCCTATTTGTGAGAATATCATGAAAGATAAATAGATATGTACACACATACATATTAAGTCACAAATTAAGTTACTGTTTTTCACACACATTTCAAAACAACAATTCTAATTCTATTTTGGAAATATATATTGGTTATGCTTTTCTATATAAGTCAACCTTAACTATATGTTTGATTGGTTGGGTTTTTCTGTGTGAATTAACTTTTTTTTTCCCAAGGGATTCTTTCTTGTTTATAGAAAGTTACACACAGGTTTAAGACTCTCCCTATGCATAGGAAGCGTCATAAAATTCAATGCAATACTTGATTCTTTAAGGGCCTCTCAGCCAAAAGTATTTTCTGTAAGGTATTTAAACTTATCACAGTGATATAACTACATACATATTGCGGAATATGCACTGCAAATTAAGTATATTTAGCACTGAAATGCTTTTCTTTCACCAGCTTCTTAGACTATTGGGAGTTTGTTTCTTTTACTGCTGCTTTTGGTAACATATCTAGTTCTGTTCTACTAAGAAAAATAATTAATAAAAATGGCACTTCAGTGCATATTTTTCTAAATAATTAAAATCAAATGTCACTTCTGCATTTTTCAACTATACTTCAGTGCATTCATCGTGATGCATTTTGTGTGTGAAAGCCCACATGTTGCCTGCCTGCAGCATGTCAGATTCTGAATGCTGTTATCAGTATTCTGCATTCACAAGAGATGCAGCTCTCGTTACCCAAGAGATGTGCACGCAATGTGCACCTCTGCTATCAGCATATAATTGTGAACTAATTTATAATCCAAGGAAATAGATTTAGGACTGTACATATTGTAACGCTTCTCAGCTCTCACTATAATATGGAAATCATTATAGTACTGAAACACTCTTTATATATTTTCTGCAGTTAGCAAACACCTCCAGGCCAGCATTATAAATCTTTGATTTAATCTCCTTTTCATCATTAGGACCATCTCAGATTCAGGTTATTCTCCTAATATTTTAACACACACCTAATTATACAGCACATTTTACAGTAACATGCTAAAATACTTTAAGATGTTACTTACAGTAACATCCTAAAATACTTTAAGAGTATTTTCCTGAAATCCTTTCTATATGTCATATTATTAATTAAGCTAACTGCCCAACACATAGGAAAGAAAAAAAGACTACTTATACGTACTGCAGGAAGCCTGGAAGAAAAACCCTAAAACATTAGTAAAACCAAGGGTGAATTTCTAGAAATTTTGAGTAATACTTGATTTGCAATAAAAAAAAACCCTAACAAACCTCTGAAACCAAAATTACTGTGTTTATTCTTAACTTCAAAGAGATCGAAAAAATATGCAATAATCTGTGTTTCTGAAAAGAGGTATATTTCCAAATCCCCAAAACTTAGTTTTGATAGGGAAAGGCAAAGAAGAGGGTAACAAGGACAAATCTGGGCATAATTATTAGCACAAGACACAAACAGCTACACCATAATTTAAAAGAACTGTGTCTGAAGAGCTTTAAATCTACTATCTTTAAATCTACTATCAAAGCTTGACTGTTACGTGGGGTGTGCTCAGTTGTTACAGTTCATCACATAAAATGCATTCCATTTTTCAGGAGGAAATAATTTCTGCACACTTTTCCTCCTACAACATCTTTTTCCATTAACATTTTAGAGCGAAAAAATGCTACAGCAATGCTGGCTGTAAGCAGTGATGTGCTAACACTGCTACACACTTCTCAGGGGAATTGTGCTATCCTTGACATTTATCCATAAATGTTCATCTGTTATACTGCAAGACTGTTCTCATTCTGCCTCTTAGGAGCAACCTTTTAAAAGCACAGGGTAGCACTCCTCACTGGCACTTCTGTACCCAGAAAATTTCAAGCAATTATTCTGGCTGCAGTCCTTGACTTGATCAACAGGATCTACAAGCTGTCAGGCACGAGCTGCCTCGACAAATAGGTCGACCCTGCAAGGCTTTACTGCACCAGAAACGCGCCGCAAAAGTTAAAAGCAATCACACTTTTTTTCCCCACTGTGGTTTATGAAGGGTCTGCCTTGCCTACATGGAAAAATCTTCTTTGTACCTCAGATCAAAGCCAACAAGGCGAAAAGCACAGCTACAATCACTCATGGCTTTTTGAGAGCCTTGCTTTGAAAAATAATGCTATAGGAATATTCTGGTTAAAAGGTGGTGAGTTCAGTTCTGAGCAGCAATACTGATGTGCAGATCTCTCCTCGTGCCTCGTGTTTCTCTCCATGCTCTGCATTTAGTATGCAGGTTCACCAGCATATTGTTGCTGTACTAAAATCTCATTGCCCTTTGCAAGCTGTAATTCCAAGTTCCAGTAAGTACTGTTTACTACAGCAATGCTTCCTGAACATTTCCACAAGGCTTGGTTCCCCACCCTTTAGTTTTTGCACCTCCTTTGTCCCATTCCAGAAAAAAAAAAACAAACTAACAAAAAGCGTGCGGTAATTATCTTCACAGCTTTTCTTGGCGTATCTGGCTCCCTCCCATTTCATGTTAACCAATGAAAATGCCATCCCTCAGCCCTAAACAACAAATGAACCATCACTTAGCCATGGCATTTTCCAAGGTGGAACATTCATGCTTTCTCTCATGCTGATTCATGTTTGGGAGTGGTTCCCCATAAATATCTGTCAAGTTAATTCACTTTACTCTTTCTACTCCAAGCCTTACATCTCTTGTATGCTTACAAAGCAAGTTAACAATGAGCTCAGTGGCCTGGTGACAATGCAGATAGATACTTAATGAGAACTAATAGCAGCTGATACAGAGCAGAAAAAGTCTTCCTCTTTTGGAATACTCCACTGATACTTAATTGAGATTGATATTTAGGCCTAAATATGCTTGCCAGTTTTATTTCAGGATCCTTCAGTAGAAGAAATCTATGGAAAAAATCCAAACACACATAAGGGACAGAAGTCTGAACAAGCCTCAGACCTACAAACTTTTAAAGGTATTGCTCAAACATCATTATTACCATGTCCAAATACATATACATATATATATATATATATATATATATAGTCATATATACATAAGTCTATGATTCTGTATAAGGGTTCATATCCAAATTATTTTGTGTTCAATTCTTATTAGCTAAATTATCTCTTGACCTAAATCTTTCCATCTCTTTGTACAAGCTCTCAATTTCTACTACCATAAAAACCTCATATAATTAGTTACTGACTATACAAGGAAGATTTGCATAAAATTGCACTGCAATAGATGGATGAATGTACTTTTTAATTGTTAGTTTAGTTTCTTACTATGTTCCCCACCTTTTGTTGCAAGGCTCCAGTCATGCACACAGACTGACAAAAGGCTTAGCATAGCACAACATGTCCAGTTTGGTTTAAACAAAGCATTGCCTGAGTTTCCTCCTATTCATGATGGGTATCTCGTGCTTCTCAGGTTCAAATTTGTCTCTTGGCTCAGCTTTACTTTTCAAACACAGAAAATTAGGTCAAACTAGCACATCAAAACAATTTCTCCCAGCCCAGCCCCTGAGGCCGCCTTCCTGCTCTTCTGTGAAGGGAAGGTCAACACTTCATCTTGAGGTTTATTACACCTGCCTGCCTCCTTTATGACTTTCTCAAATGGGGCTTTGCAGGCCACAAGGACCATCTGAATTCTTTATAGCTCAGCCTGAGCAGAGAAGAGGCCTGGCTGTATTTCTTCTGGCCCTGGGGTAGCAGACAACCTCTGACAGCCACACAGCATGACTGCAGATGATGGGTGTTACACCTTCTCCCAGCACTGAAACACAACACTTGGGGACAGAGTAAGATGACAGATTATTCACATGCCAGGGAAAGAAAATAAAACTTGTAAGTTGTGGCCAGTTTGAATCTCTTCCCTCAAGACTGTTATACTTATGAATAAGGATCACAAAAACAAATAAGAACACCCAGCAGGTATTGGTTTTGGGTAGCCGGAAGGCCTTGAGACCTATCCTTCTTCTTGCTTAGCCTTCCATCTTGTGTTCTCCTTTTACACACCTCTATGAGCAGCCATATATCAGGCTGCAACTTCATAGAGCTGCAGCCTTTTTATTTTGTCAGTAATTGACAGAAGTCCTCCACATTGACTTCTGTAGGAGCAGAGTTTAGCTGACACCAAGAGCTACTGAAGTTATTTTCCCATGACATTGCAGCTCACCATAGATGATAGCCTTCACTACAAGTCTACAAATTATTTTCTCCTTATTGTGTCTCGTTTGTCTTTTTTTTCTTTTTCTGCTCAAGGGCTGAATTTGTCTTAGAAGAAAGTTTGATTAAGGAAGACGCAAAGTCATTCAGTCTGTAACAAAATCATGAAAGAATATAAGTCCAAGAAGCAGAAAGAATACCAGAAATGCATATCAAGAGCAGACTGAGTAATTCCCTGAAAAAGGGATTGTATTTTACAATACATGTGA